CGAGTACAGCTTAATTTAATGAAAGCCTTCAAATGAAGGGTACCTCAAAAGCAATCTAGCTTCAAAATTTGGACACAAAAATGTCTAGGTCAAAATCTAGGTCAAATTCAAAGTTTTCCTTATTTTTGTGATTCTGACACTACACTTCAATTATATTCTTCGAAATTGTGTATATATGTAGCCAAGAGTGTACTTATAGTGTTAGCCTTTTGCCGTCAGAAAGTATTTTAACCCACTTTAGAGATATGGTGTCTAAAAAGTAGGTCAAAATAAAAAATTCTCCAAATTTAACGTTTGAGTTATGAATGAAGAATAGAATTTTCTCAGGAATCAGAATCTGCAAACCAAATTTCGATCCGATTTCCGGTTCGGAAGTTATGGCGTTTTGAAATTTCTAGAAAAATCGATCTGATGGTATCCTGATAGAAAGTCAAGAGTAGCGAAGAAAATGTTGAAAAATCCATCCATCCTTCCATCCATTCTTCCTATCCTATCCTACTATTCTATCCTATCGTTCCTTCTTATTCCATCTTATCCCTTTTATCCCTATCCGTTCCTTCCTATCTATCCTTCATATCCTTTCCTTCCTATCTATCTATCTATCTATCTATCTATCTATCTATCCTTCCTATCCTTTCCTTCCTATCTTATCCTTCCTTGCTATTCTATCCTATCTTTCTTCTCTATTCTCTCCTATCGTTCCATCCTATTCTGTCCTATCCCTCCTTCCTATTTCATCCATCCATCCATCCATCCATCTTATTCTGGATGACTCGGCTTAAAAAAGTCCAGATCTGGAGTCTGAAATTGAACTTGTTTGCTTAAAAAAGTTCAGATCTGGAGTCTGAAATTGAACTTGTTCAATTTCCAAAGTCTAGTTATATTAGTTCTTTGTAAACAACTTCCATACGATACGGTAAATCAAGGGGATTTAATTTAGAAAATGAATAATCTTTATTTTTCAGATACAATATCAATGAGGTTGGCTCCTGGGGATTCAATACTTAGCCTATGTATTTAGTTTACCTTGTATATCCTTTTAACTTTGATAAAGACAAATACATTAAGGAACCAAACAAAATACGTTTCATTCATGAAACACGCACTCACGCGTTTTATTCATGTCCCGACCAACACCTATAAACAGAACATAAAACAGTTTCTCCTGATATTCAATGATACATTATACTGTATTGGCGTTTTTGCATCAGCACATTGGTGTTGTTGCATCATCGATAATAAACAGAGTGGTGTTGTTGCATCAATAGTGAGGAATTAAAACCGTGAATTTCTCATTTCTTGATGATGCTACATGCATACTAATGAGAGTTTTTTAAAATATAGATCATGAGCTAACTGCACGTGTATGATTATTGAGCAACTCGTCCTAGAAATGGGTTTAAATTGGGAAAACAAAATATCGTACGAGAATCTATCACCGGAAGTCTGGCCATCTTGATGCAACAACACGGTGTTGTTGCATCACGATACCCCCCAGTGAATATTGTTAGCGCTTCGAGTACTAGAATAGCATATGAATCCTGGATTGATTAAGAATGTTTAATACGTTTAATTGCTGAATGATACTTTCTGAAAGTATCAGAAATGTGTAAATCGTGATTGCCAATACTAAAAGTTATTGAATGATTTGAAGTGCAATACAGGATATACGCAGAAAAACTAATTAAACATGATTAAACTACAGCCTGTTGACAGATGACACTACTTTGTGTAAGTAATTTCCAAAAACTGCAGCTTAGCACAATTTTTTTTATAAAAAACACTGCACCACCTTATTCAAACATTGAAAATATGTATTGACTCTGTGCCACTACCAATGAACCAATTTAAATGAAACTCTGACAGTCTCAGTCAAACTTACTACCCTGTCTCATGTGAAAGTTTAAGCATCCAACACCTCTTATTATAAAATCTAGAGGCAACGGTAAGAAACTTTTTGATCGGCCCTTGTATTCTGCTCGAGAAATTCTGTATTGGAACGAGACGAAGTCAATAACGTTTTTAACGTGTGATCTTAGACCAATACATTTTACTTAGGGTATAATTCCTGAGAAATATTCTGTATTCTCTGTATTGCTTCTGAGATTGTCCCCTCAGTACTAATATTTTCTGTATTGCCAAGGAGATGATCGGTGGGGACAATTTCAGTAGCAATACAGATTTGTACAGTACAATAACTGACCAATCAGAGGGTTTCATGTTACAGATCATACGATAAAATAATATATAAATACTCGTTATTTTTTAAAGGTTTTATCTGGTTTTTGTCAACTGTTGATTTGGATATAAAAGTCAATCCCTTAGCTTCACGAACGTAGTTTCGTTCACTTGTGCGTAATAATGTTTCCCTTGACGTTTTTGCGTGTAACATTGCATAAAACAACATCAAACAATACACACATCACTGGTGTTTGTTATTCAATTGTATCAGTTGATATATTCAATGTACTGATCTGTTGATTCAGGAATCATGATAATAATTTATAGACTTTAGCTCGTTCGTTAAATCGATGTAATTGGCAATTGCGTACTACCTTATCGCGTTCTCATTGGTTAGTTTGTATGCCATATACCACAGGTGAATCTGTCATACACCGCAAATAAATATGCCATATTCTTTGCCCAACTAACACGTAATTCCCTTTTATTAACTAGCGATCAATTTGATGAGTATCATTTATAAATAGTTTTTATCAATTAGCGATGATAAATATCAATTTTAGCTGATGTTATCAGCTAATGCTAATTTAACTTGTGCCCTTTTCTTCGTAACATTGACCCCAGACCCCAAATTCTTTTAGCGATAGTTTTGATAATTATCATATTTAGCTAATATTATCAGCTAATTCTTATTCAACTTGTGTCCTTTTCTTCTTAACATTGACCCAAGACTTTAGTGATAAAAGCGATAGCTTTGATAAATATCGAAATCGATTTTAGCTGATATTATCAGCTAATGCTAATTTCACTAGTAGGCTACCCTTTTCTTCGTAACACTGAATCCAGACTCCAGACCTAATTTCACTTGGGCCCTTTTCTTTGTAAGAGTTGCTCCAGACCACCCAAACTTTTTTAGCGTTAAAAGCGATAGTTTTGATGAATATCAAAGGACGAGTGTCTTTAAGACCCTATATTAGCCCCCAAGATATTTAGAAAAAAGTGTACCAGATCCAAAAATAAGATCATTCTGGCCTTTAAATTTCAAAATATAGGTCATTCTACTAACGTGTATAAAATGACTTTTTCAAGGAAAATCACTGTTTTCACATTATTATTGTCACTGTTTCTATTTTTTATCAAAATTATCATTATTTTCAGTCATTTAAGACTTTTTAATTGATCTTCTTGGTATTATCTTACATAATAGTGACAAAGCATAATGGGCAACATTCGAAAACATATAAAATATAACAAGTCAAAAAGGCAAACAAAATATTGAATAGTGATCATCTTTATACTTCATTGAGATCAAGTGTGTACAAAAACGTTTGCTAAACTATGCCAGAAATATTGAGTTTTTTAATTAAAATCACAATGAGAAAGAACAAGGGGCAACATTAAAAACACATGATGTAATTAACAATTCAAAATGCATATCAATCAATTATATATTGATCTGCTTCCTTGAGATCAATTAATTTTTCATATACAGTTTGTTTTAAAGTGGCAGTAAAATACTGAATTTATTACTTCATATTACAGTGAGGAAGCACAAAGAGCAACATTTGAAAACACATAAAATATAACAATTTCTAAAAAGTTACTCTGGACTTTACATAACTGTTGATGAGCACATTCGTGTGTTTGTTCATTATAATAAGAGATTCTATGAGGTTTCATCATCTTCTTCAGATGACAACATTTCAGACATATCTTTTGATTTTAAAATGTCAGACATATTTTTTGATTTTTTTAATGTCAAACTTTGTGCATTTCTTTTTGCTTTTATACCCCTTTTGCCGACAACCCTACTCCCAACTTGGCATGTAGAACACCATCCAGTGATTGCATCAATACTATTACATACATCTGGGTCTGGGTTGTACTCCACCCATAATGAGATTTAGAGAACACAAACCAATTACTGGGCTTTTACACAAATTAGGCCATATGTTTCATTTTTAACAATGATGGTATATTCCCCATCTACTTGAAGATGGTCTGTGTATCGTTTAGATTGGTTGGCTTGATCTCATGAGAGTCCACTACGATTTAGATGTAACCCTCTGTCTCTATACAGGGGGTACTGGGTACTGCAGTTCACTCATACAGTTCCCTTTGCTTTGGGCATTTTATTAGCGAATGTTATTTTCTTGCCTACTGATTGTGACTTATGGTATATTTCTCCTGCATAATTTTGAGCTGGATTTCTAAATATGAACATTGGTATGATCAGCCAGTGAACTGTGATAATATAAAAAAAATTTCATTGAAAAAAATGAGGCCTGTCACATGAAGATAAAATGATTGTACAACAATCATCTCATATGAATGTAATGAAAGGAATTGCATATTATTATGTTGCTTAGAGCCATGGTAAAGATATATGCTTCTCAAGAGGTCATGCTCCAGTGCAAGCATACATATTAGTTTATGAAAAGATCATATGAATAAAGAAAATATACTCAGATATATAAAACACAACTGTCACAATCATTCTAAGGATTTTCAAAATGGCTGACATCATTTTATTTCATGCTGAAAATTGCAGAAAAGTTTTTAACCGATACCTTCTAAGAATGATCGTTAAAATGTTTCTAAATTTTGAATTATGAAAGGTCATTTTTGATATTTTTTATGTGGATTGGCCAGAATATCCAAAGAAAGATATGATGCTTTTTCAACATGTGTTTACAAACAATATGTCTCTGTTACAAATAACAATCGTTAGTAGGTCATGTGCGTGAAAGATAAACAAATTGTCGGCTGCCTTGCATAGATCCAAGCATGGACACCAGATACGAACATGACGAATGAAATCAATTAAATTCATGTATCTCAGATGTATTTATTTTCCTGCAGAATTTTATAATTACAAATAAACTTCATTTTTAAGGCTCTTTTACATTTTTGTAAACGGGGAAAGACGAAAGAGTATAATCTTTGGGTGTTCAATTGTCCAGAGTATATTCGTTCATTCAGTCAGTACATTTTGTACATATTCAACAAAGGTTGCATGTTTTCTTGCATCCTCGTTTCACAATGGCGTTATTTTCACAATCATCCTTGGTCGCGAAATCACAATCCGACGACATGTCCATACACGGTTCTGAAATAAAATGTACATACACTATACAATTGCACTACTAGAATTATAACTATTTCATTGAAATTTAAACAATTTACTTAAATTGTAGATATTTTGTTCGGTGTAGTTATAAATGAGAAATAAGATACAATCAATTAAATTACGATATTTACATTTACTGATCAAATGCGAAAATAATTTTTTTGGGGGGTATATTCTACATTTTTACATTTATAAAACTTGCTTTCAATCAACTCTATCCCCTCCAATTTAGAACTCAACTCTGAATTCAGAGTATCAGTCTATAATCCCCCCCCCATCTATATCTCGTATATCCTTCAGAATTTAAATGTTGACCCATTTTTTACAAAAATGCAACCTTCTTAATGAAATTTTCTTTTTATTCATTTTCGTTTGTGCAATATTATCATTATAGATATAGTAAAGAACAATAACTTGATAAAAAAAAATGGAATGAAGATTTTGAGACATTTTTAAGGAAGTACATGACAACCGCTCATCCAAAATTGCACAAAACATTTTTCAAACGCATATCAAAACCAAGGAGGATTAAAATTGGATCCCACAATACTGTGTCTTGTAAACTTTGATGAGCTAAAAAGTGCCACAGTTGAGTTTAATTATTTAAATGTAAAATATTATCAAACTACTCACCAGCCGGCCTAACAGTACCACATGCGCAACTTGCTGCACAATTTGTCCTCACTACCCCCGTTTTACAAGAGGCGCTATTGACAAATATTTCACAGCGCAAATTGTGCCATTTATCACCCCCGCCTTCAATCGCATTTAGACAGTTTTCTGTAATAAGATAAACAACTTTTAATTTGTTTAAGACCTCCGATGTGGTTCTAAACATTGCTGTGTTTGATAAAATTGGACGTATATACAAGAATAGTTGTGTCAAACAGAAGGTACAACTTCAGTGTCCATTGCGCAGTCAATTCGCAAATCCCTAATGTATACAATGGAATAACAATATTTTCCATTGATTCATAATATTCAATATTTTTGACGAAAATCCTACTTGTGTAATTTTCTCATTGGAAGCAACGTTAAATTTAAACATTTTTTCGAAATAAGCGAACGGTCCATCTTTCTTATTTTCTAATATTTTGTTCTACTATCAGTAGATCTTACACTTAAATCTTTTCAGAAGAAAATCTGAGGTGTATAAATGTGGATCGACACTGAAGTTCTACCTTAAGAAAAATGATTTGCATCAATTATATAATCATGACAGGTTAAGATTGAAACTATCTGCAATTTTGCATTTTAGTATTTTCCATATTTTTATGTGGATTGGCCAAAAATAGCCAAAGAAAGATATGATCACAGGGAGGTATCGAAAAATTTGTCCGCTGTGGCGGAGCATGCTATTTTTCACAAAAACACCAAGTAACTCACAATTGTTTTATCTCATTTGTATCGTTACTCCATGCAATGGATATGTTATTGGGTGGGTAACCTACACTCTTGTATTTAGTCCAATAACGCTAGGGGTAAATGCTATTGAAAACAGCGTCAGAGAATGATACGCTAAGATGTACCATTTCTTTCTTAACATTTTAATTGTACGATAAAGTGACATGGAAATATCTACACATGTTTTCAGCATAACTCTGACGGTATTAATGAGATCTGGATGTATTTGGTATTTTTATTTAAAAACAAATAATGCTTAAATATTTTGTCCGCTGTAATACAAAAATTACGATCTTCACGTTTACTGATCAAATGTGAAAATAATTTGTTTTGGGTATATTCTACATTTCTACATTTATAAAACTTGCTTTCGATCAACTCTACCCCCTCCATTTTGGAACTCAACTCTGAAGTCAATGTATCATTCTATAATCCACCCATCTACATCTCTTTCAGACTTTTAACAACGATTGCCCAATTTTTACAAAAATGCAACCATTTTCAAGGAAGAGTATATGACAACCGCTCATCCAAAATTGCACAATATATTTTTCAAACGCATATCAAAACCAAGGAGGATTAAAATTGGATTCCACAATACTGTCTTGTAAACTCTGATGAGTTAAAAAGTGCCACAATCGAGTTAAATTATTTAAATGTAAATATTATCAAACTACTCACCAGCCGGCTTAGCATGAGCACATTGTTTGCAACTAGTTGCACAATTTTTCGGCACTGCTTCTGTCGTTTCACAATAGCCTTTACCGACATATTCTGCACAGAGCGACTTGAGCCCTTTATCATCCCAATCTTTAATCGCATTCACACAGTTTTCTGTAATAAAATAATCAACTTGTAATTTGTTTGAGAGCCCCGGTGTTGTTCTTAACATTGCTTATTGTGTTTGATAAAATTTAACCGAGAATAGTCATATTGTTTTAGTCATATTGTCTTGTGTCAAACAGTTCAGGTAGAAAAATCAATCATGACATTTTGATACATCAACTTGAATTTTATGGCATCAGAGGCATAGCTAAGTCCTGCTTTGAAAGCTATTTAAGAAACCGTAAACAAAAAGTGCAATATGTCACCATTAACAATAATGAATCTAGACAAACATCTCTAAGTTGTAGTGTTCTGCAGGGCTCGGTACCTGAATTGTGTAATTTTCTTATCGTAAGCAACGTTAAATTAAAACATTTTTTAGAAATAACCAACCGGCCAAACTCTCTTATTTTCTAAAGTTTTGTTCTACACTGGGGTTCTATGTCAGATGTTCTTTCACTTAAATGTTTTTCAGTCAAGAAAATCTGAATTGTAGAAAATTTTGGTAGACAATGAAGTTCTACCTTAAGAAAAACAAACAAACAAAATGATTTGTACAAATTATAGTTGACTCCAGACAATAAATTCCTTCATAAAAAATTAACCTTATTGGAATATCGACTCTTTGATTGACTCAAGAAAAAAGGAATTTGTTTGCTACGACGTTGTGATTGAATTCTGGCCGATTGGTATAACGTTACAGATATCAGGTATTCTAATACTAATTTAAACGTTCCCCGTTATGTAGTGGAAGCGGAGCGAACCATGTTTACCTATTGCCTTTCTTTCGTATTTGTTGGGTTCGTTTCTTTCTTCAAGTTCTATTTCCAACTCAGTGAGGAGACGCTTTAAAAGCTCGACATCTGAAAAATAAAAGTCAAAGGACTGTATTCATGAGGTCAAAAAGGTCAGATAATGATCGCTAAAACATCGATAACGTTTGCACAAAGATTCATGGTGTGACGATCCAGCTCGTCATTTATTTATATTTATATCATTTGTCCTTACCTGATACATTGCTCTTGCTTGTAATTTCGAAAATCAGGTATAATTACTTTGTACTTACTCGAATCTCTAGCCAATACACCGTGGCCGAAGAATAAGGTAACTTTGTACTCGTTTCAAATTCACTAAACTGTTTCCATTTCTAATTTATTTACTTTTATCTGGAGGTCGCCATTTGGGAAAGTCGTGTCATCAACATTAATCTCATATATAGTTTTGAGATAATATTGAACACAGCCAGTGGAATTAATGGAGTGATCAGTTGGGTAAGCCAAAATGACCGTTTGAAGCCCACGGAGAATCGTTTTGAAGACACAGTATGCATAGCAAGAGAGCCAGTATGCCCGGAAAAGCAACGAAAGTGTTTGAACTTTGGTGATTTACTGGCTGTTTGCAGTGTTCATAATTTTGAGTGATTATTTGAGCTGATTTGATTCTTATCTTGATTTTGCTTAATTGACAAATAAAGCCAGTGCAGATGAAATTTTTTTCAAAAGAAACTTAATTATTTCTGTTGGATTATTGGTGATTAAATAGTTACATAACTTACAAGAACCTTATACTATCACTGTATGTACAGTGATCGCCTACTTTATCAAGTGTGTGATCAAAGAGTCGACAAGATTCGCAAAATTGGAAATGTCGGAGGAAAGGTATGTTTGTTCTTTTCTCTTTACCACCTTAATGTCATTTTACCTACAGATGGTATTCCATATGCTGTATAAAAGACTCAAGATTCATTTGGTAACAGGATTCAGTGATTAAATCAACCGAAATACTTTAACAGCAGGATGAAACCAAGTGGAGCTAATCTCATTTAAACTTTGACAAAATTCGCTCAATACTGATCAACCTTCCATTTCAGCTAAACCAACAAGAATCTAGATTCCAAATATGTCACCATGCAAACGGCTAAATAGCCTCTGCCAAAAGACTAAAAAACAAAGAAAAGGGTTTCAAGATAGCATGTTTCATGTCAATCGAGAGATAAAGAAGACTTACCTTCAGCTAATGACCCTACGGCAAAAAGCGTAAGCAGAGCGAGCGTACATGTAAAGTATTGCATCCTGGATTGTCTGTCAATCGTGCTAGGCGTTTTCTTGCTGATAATTTTCTGACTAGCCAGTTAAACTGTTAGATGACTTATGCCCAAATGCAATTGATCGATGTAGTTTGCCTAAGTCCATCTTGTGCCAAAAAGCATTTACGTTTGAAAGGTTCACTTAATCACTTTGGAGTATTTCCAACTGGATTTTGAGTATACGGGGGCGACCCAGAGAACCCTGTAAAAGTTCAAAATTTTCTTAAACACCTATCCTATTAACCCTTTGTATGTGCACAAACTAGAATCTCTGGATGATAATATGATAGCAAGTTTCTTACATAAAATTGATCATTTGTGATACCATTGATGGTCTTACATTCTTAGAATGTGTCCCATTTTCGGAAAATAGACTTTGAGACAAAATCATGTCTTGAGATTTAATGAGAAATTCTAAGGGAAATTCCGAAGAAGACACAAAACAAAGTCACATTCAATACTATAATTGGAAAATGAAGAATAGGCAATGCTTAAACACCTAGTAAAAATCAGATGACTAAAAGTTCTGGTCTCTGAGCAAGAACACCTCAAACGCTGTACGAAATTCCATTGGATGAATTCTAAAGAAATCATTAAAACATCATAATGATCAGTCAAAGCATTGAATAACATGTGATACCATGCTCAAATATTTAAACATAAGTTGGAAGAGCAAAATGGAGAAGTGTTAAACATTTGAATAAAGAAATGATCAGCTAATACCTGTCTAGGGAGGTTTCTTAGAATTGGGGTATGAGAACACCTTGAAGTAAGCTTAGACTACAGTATATCCTCTAGTCTTACTACTCTACTACCTCTTACTACTTAATTGAATTGTTATAATGCTTATTTTGGGAAGTGAAGTTTCCTAAAAGTTAATAATTGTGTGCTGGAAATTTCCCGTTTTTCCCCACAGGAGGGATATAATGATAAATAAACTGAGTTTTCAGGAAATTTAGCCTATTGGATGTAGACTAGAAGTAAGCTACTGTGTGTGGTTGCATTGAATGTAGTTCCGAAATATTACTCAGATAGTACAGTCGGTCGTACCTTGAGATGACTTAAAGGTTGCTGGGAGATTTACCCATTAATGATCTTAACCTCTATACTCACCAAATACAGCTGAACAAGAAGCCAAAAGAATGTGTTTGAAAAAACGATGTATACCCTTCAGTTGACATCTAATTTCTTTCAAAAGTTGGCACATTTTTAATTGACCATGAGAAGAATATGAGTCCGATTACATTTGTATTAAAGAAATCGTTTCATGTTTGGAGAGTTCTAGCTGTTTTTATTGGGTCAACCTGCACATGCAAATAACTTTTTTGAACTCGTTTTCCCGCAAACCATACATCAGGAGTCAGCATTACAAGTTTGCATATCATTGAGTTCGATGTATTCGTTATCCCAAGTAATAGTTACTGTCAGCCCCCTGTTGATTTTACGGTTGTCTGATTATCCCACCAAACGAGTTGTAAGACACGAGCCTTTACATTTTGAATCAAATCCAAACGAAGCATATGTATGAAATATGGGAAGTTGCCTACCCTTCTATTGAAAACCAATGGTTTTAAGCATTCAAAATACACATTAAAAGGGGAGTAGTCAAGGCATTTTGATGCTCTTTAAATTGCTACAGCAACAGCAGCTATGAATATTAACCAGGGATATTATGTTAGGGGACAAAGAACTTATTGATCCTTCCGCCGAGTGGGAAGAATAGATGGCATTTTAAAAACAAGAATATAGTCCAATTATTGTAATTATATTAGCATCAAGTACATGAATGAAAAAGTGTATGTATGGACCAACTCTTAATACATAATTTGATGTGATGGAGGTGCATTATCTTTAAGAAATTTGACCTTTTTGACCTGCCTCCATCTCTTAGGTAGAAGAAGGTAGAATGTCGCTGTTGAAAAGGTAGAGCATCTATGTTTAAAAGCGGGACAATGGTTGACGGACATCCAGTTTTATCAGTGCAATCACCAATGAAAATGTACAGACCTTACATTTTATTTTGTTTATCTCGTATGTACAAATTTCATAAAAAGTATTACAAAATAATTTGGTTCACTACAAATATTTGACTTTTTGTGACGGTGTCACGGTGGTCTTAAATTTGAAATCTGTTGAAAAGTGTTGAAAATTCGAATAGATGGCGGAAAAAGCGGTCGGATCTTTTGGTTCTGGTGGCCCTTTTTCTGGAGACGTTTCGAGTTCTAAGGGGGACATATGGAGCTATAACATGGTATTTGTGGTTTGGTAACGGAAATGTTGTTTTTTCCATAATTGATCCGAAGATTTGCATGTTTTCCATTGAATCGTATGGGGCCATTTAATAAGCGAGTTATCCCAACAAAGTTAGGCTGGCTGGCAGCCAGTGATGTCATTGGGACGGCCTGTCTTCAACATAATATTTCTGAACCAAGATACCTACCTCATCCTAGGCGAAGTAATAGGCCAACACAGAATCGAGTAAGGAGAAGACGATCCTTCAATACATTCAGTACCACAGATTTTGTGTTATTTGTATATATCATATGTTTTAGAAAATATACATATTTGCGAACAAATAGTTCAGAAGACTACAGAATCGTCGATTTAATTAATATAAACGGTTTTGGGTTGAAAGTGCAGATCTTAACTATGACGCGGTATCGCCGCCAGAACTGCGCGAATGATCGCGCGACTATTTCATTAGTCGCGCGACAATTTTACAGTTGCGCGATCATAATCAACCAATAGAAAGTGATAATTTATTCGCGCGATTGTTTCTCAAGTCTCAACTTCGCCCGACTTAAAATAACCATTCAAAACCAATTTTTCAAAAGAATGCCACCCTTTTGATTATAGAAGTCCGAAATATTCGATTCAACCACTAATTAGAGGTTATGTCACTATCGTGGCATATATGCCCGAGGTCTCAGTGATATATGGCCCGACCTTGGGAGGGACATTGATCTCTGAGAACCGAGGGCATATGTGCCACGATAGTGACATAAACGATTTATAACATACCTATGATGATGTAGACTAGTCAGAGAGTACCGTTTTCTTATAGAATTGACAAACAAATGGTTTGAAATTGATTGAAATGAGTTTAGAAAAATTGCTCGCGCAGTTTTACCTTCGATTGATTGGTTATGACGTCAGCGCCTTAACCAATCAGAAAGTTAGCGGGCGCAGGCTTTTCAAAACTTATATTGGCCCGCTGTCTTGTGTACACTTTGCACTATACATCATCATAGGTATGTTATAAATCTTCTTATTCGTCTGGTAGGGGTGCCGAATTGAAGCAGTTTATTAGAGGAGTTAAAGATGCAACTGGAACCGTTGAAAACGGCAGTTTAGAGATAAATAATGGTATTATATTATTTACAGGTCTGTCTATTCATAGTACCCATCACAAAATCTTTACTTAAATACGTAGTTAACCAATATTCATTAGTCGTGTTATTTGGTTTTGACTTAATCCATTTGCTCAACTTTTTATTCGAAAATATTACCAACATTTGCAATCAGGATACCAATATCCACTGAATGTTGTTCCAGGTTTAAACCACTTTTTTGAAGAGAGTATGGACGAGAATTTTAGATTATGGTACAATATTGAGGACAAATGGCGTAGAATCTATTAAATATGATTTTAATCTCCCTTTATCCCATTTATAATACAACTGAAATAATTGAATAACTTTTCTCAAGCCCTTGAGCTCGGGTTACTAAGCTTGAAATTCCTTAGGCTTAGAGGAACGTTTCTAATGATGCATTAATGAACCCCGTTCAAGTCATCCCTTGCAAAAATTAAAACCAAAACAACATAAACAGAATTATGTCTAACATTAAAAGAACAATAAACAAAATTGAATAATATAAAATTCATAAAGTCATTTTTTATTTTATATCTCTTGAACTGAAAAAAACTTTTAAATGTTTATCTTTACATAAGTTACGACCGAGACAGGGCATCATGAGTCGATTTAGAAAAGCGAAAGGGCAAAACCAATTAAACGCTGTGTCAGTGTACGTTCTTCTATCTGTTGCCTAAAAATTAGTCCGACGTATTTATATTAAAACATCTAATAGACATGCATTTTATTTTCACAATTACTGATTACTGTATACCTCGCGAAAACGCGAAAATTAGATGTGAAATATAAGTTTAATATGGTATTATATCGCATGCAAAAATGAGTTTTAATAAAATTCCTGATGATATAATGATTTATTTCTCCACGATGAGAAAGAATTCCTATCAAATTTGCTATCATTAACTCATCTGCTTATTTTCATTGAAAACTATATTAACCAAATGGAGCAATAACACTTACGACTTATTTACGATACTATATATTTGTATTTCAGATGCTTAATGATCAGTTTTTAACAACATTATGACGATATAAACTTCAGTTATCATAAAAATTGCATGTACTTTCTTTGAGGGCTGGAGATAACATGTGGTGAACCTCTTGTCGAGTTGTGACGATGGCTTTCATTTGTTAATATGACACGGGCGAACTTAACAATATTAGGCCGCATTTTTGTACTACCCCATTGGTTGGGTATCATTGGGCGACGGTAACACAATTTTCCGGGCGGATACTAATGCAGACGTGCGATTCCTATTAATTAAAATCAATCGCGGGAATAAAAATCAGCGGTTCTGGCGGCGATACCGCGTCATACTTAACTGTTTTTCGAAACACGAAAAAATTTCGAAAAAATCGTACCTTCGATATTCCGAAATTTTGTTACCGAGACGGTTCGTAATCGAATGGATCACCAGTGATGTAGGAAATATCAGAAAAAGTTGCTTCACTTTTAATTTTCACATTGAGCAAAGCCTTTCTGTCGGTGCATTACTATATTGTAACGAGTCTCTCGTTCTAGCAGCGTTTTGGTCCCCAGCTGTTAGAAGGCCTTCTTACAGCTGGGGACCAAAATGCCCCTGGAAGTAGGGATTCTGTTTAAGAGAATAA